GGGATGCTGCTGTTAAAACATCCTCCATGCCCACACCCCCATACTCCCCGTCAAAGATTTTTCTTTGCTCCAAAATATTAGTGGCAAGATTGGAAACCTTGCATCATAGTGACTGTATTGACTGCTTTGGGGTTAGGAATCTGCTGGGGAGCATAGGGACAGGAGGTTCAGAATATAACTATTTATGAACTCCCTAAAGGCCCTACCTTTGTTTTTTAAAGCAGGTACCTGCAGACATGGTGAATTTTCAGAAGAGGTATGAACTGCACAAACCACTAGTCTTAAACATAGAGTTTCCATATCACCCAGCAGTTACATTCTTAGGTATATACCCAAGAAACTTGAAAATACATGTTCACATGATAACTCATTCAGGATTACTCATAGCATTGCTCATGATAGCCAAAAGGTAGAAACATCCCATTAAACAATTTATCTCCTGATGGATAGGTAAATAAAATGTGATATATTTATTCAGTGAAATAGTATCTGCCCATAAAGAACAAGATATTACAGATACATGCTGCAACTCTACTGAATGGAGAAGGAAATGGCAACCCACTCCAGTGTTCTTGCCTGGGAAATCCCATGGACAGAGTAGCCTGATGGGCTACAGTCCATGGGGTCATAAGAGTCGGACGCGGCTTAGCAACTAAACAACTCTACTTGAACCCTGAAAACGTTAATGTTAAGTGAAAGAAGCCATCCACAAAAGGCCACGTGTATTGATGGTTTCATTTATATAAAACAACCAGTATAGTGAAATCCATATCCACGGAAAGTGGATTTGTAACTGTCGGACTGGAATGGGGTTGGGGATAGGGAATTACTTCAGATGGGCTTGGGGTGGTGAAAAGATTCTGGACTTAGTGACAATTATTGTACAACTTTGAACATACTAAAATCCACTAAATTGTATAATTAGGTGAATTTTGTAGTCCATCTCAAATTATATCTCAGTTAAAATTTTTTTTTTATTCCTGATCACACTGCTTGTGGGACCTTAGTTCCCTGATCAGGGATTGAACCTGGGCCCTTGGCAGTGAGAGCTTGGAGTCTTAACCACTGGACTGGCAGAGAATTCCCAACTGTAAAATGATTTTTAAAATATCACTTTAAACTTAAAATATATTGGGTGATATAATCTAAATGTTTTAATGATTAAAATTTGAATATATTTTATTATAATGTACAATTCAGAAATTGGATGTTCTCTTAAATTCTCAGGTACTTTCTGACATGTGTCTTGTAAATTATCTTTCTATGTAAGTGTTGTGGATTTTCTGAAGTGATCATTTTATGTTAAGTTTGATTATTGTATTTTGGCCCCAGTATTGATTTTATTAGAATTCTATTAATAAGCTAGCTTTGGCTTGTGGAGGGATCTTGCCAATTTGTTAACAGGTAAGAGAATGCATTTTTACAAGATTTTATTTAATAGAAAGGAATGTTATTAAGATATATAATGCCAGGTTAATAATGATTTAACGTATAGGGCAAACTAAAGTGAACTAATCCTTAGCATACCTAAACAGGTGAGTGACAAATACTGTAGATTTGTGTATCCATTAACCTCTTTGTTCTGTTAGGGCCCAACTGCCAGATGTTAAAATATTTAGAAATTGGGAGGAAAAGGTGTAAGTCATAATTTTTAAAATTAAAATTTTTGGTGCTTAAGTAATAAAGGACATTAAATGGGTTTTTTCAAGTTATTGTACCTCAGAGGTTTGTGTCTGTGTGTGTGCGTGCACAGTTGCTCAATCATGTCCAACTCTTTGCCACCCCATGGACTGTAGCCTGCCAGGCTCCTCTGTCCATGGTATTTTTCGGGCAAGAATACTGGAGTGGGTTGCCATTTCCTCCTCCAGGGCATCCTGACCCAAGGATCAAACCTGTGTCTCTCTGCGTTTCTTGTATTGGTGGGCAGATTCTTTAGCACTGTGCCACCTGGGAAGATAAACCTCTGAGGCTTAATCTTGGGTAAATCTGGGGCCTTCCAGAAAATTTAACTATAATATGTATTAGTCAGTTATTATTGTATGAGAAACTCCCCCACAACTCAGGGGTTTAAAACCGCGTAAGCAGTTGTTGTTGATTACACATCTGTAAGCTGCCGTAAGTTAGGTAATTCCCGTTAAAGTGTCTTGAGTTCGGCTTTGCTGTGGGTGTGGGTGGGCCTGCTGCCTCATGAAGGGGTTCTCTCTGGTTTACTGTTCATGTTTCTTCTGGAGCCTAAGCTGAAGAGGCAGCATCTACCTGCTGAAACTCTTCTCCTGGTAATGGCAGAGTTAGCAAGAGGGCAAGACCAATTGCGCAAAGACATTTTAGATCTCTCTGTATCTTTTCTGCTAACATCCCATTGGCTAAGTCATCAGATGGCAAAGCTGTAGAGGCAAGGAAGTATGCTCTGTCCACTATGAGGCCAAAGTAAGACGTATGGTCAAGCTGAGCCTCTGATGGGAGGGAAAATAATATACTCCTTCCATGGAGGTGGGATTTGGGGTAGAAGGTAGTGATTATTTTCAGAGAAAAACCAAATTTATTATATGGTATAAGAAAATGAGATGTGACCTTATTGAATTGCAAGATTTTTTTACATCAAGTGAAAAATTATCACTAAGCCATTGTTAGTCTAGCTTAGTCCAAGTTGTTCTAATAGTTAACAGACAGTTAATAGATGATACTGTTTTTGTATTCTCATGTTTTTTAATGGATTGTTCTACTTTAGCTATATAGAATTCTTTTTTTTTTTTAAGATTAACAGCCAAACACATGGAAGTTATTAGAAGCATCATTCATTAGAAGCATCATCTATCAACTTGAAGAAAAAAATTATATGTAATTTTCATTTCAATAAGGTAAGTAGCTTATATTGTTATAGTTTAGTGCCTTCAAAGATAATTGGTCAGTATGCCAAATACACTTAAATATATTCAAAGAAATGTAACTTTTTTGGACAAGATTATATGTTCACATAATGAAATGGAGTATATAGTGAAAAGTAAGCTGTTTCCCCCCCACACACTTCTTGCACTTGATCCCATAGTTCTCTTTCTTAGAAGTCTTCACTGTTACTAGTTTCTTGGACTTCCTTCCAACCTATTGTGTGCACAGGCAAGCAGACGTTTCTATACCTTTCCTTCTTCCCACTGTCTTCCTTTTTTCTTTTTATGACAAGGGGAAGTCTTCCCTGTTATGCACCTTGCTTTATTTGGGTTAACAGTGTTTTTCGGTTGTAGGTCCATATCAGTTACTTACAGTTCTATTTTTTGGGCAGACTTATTAAAGCATAATGTATGTATAATAACGGCAGCCTTTTAAAGCGTACAGTTTGGTGGATTTTGACAGATTTGTACATTCTTGGAACTACCATCACAATCACGGTAGAGATCATTTCCATTACCTCCAAAAGTCTGTCTCTCCCTCTACTCCTACCCCAGGCTGTGACTCATCTATTTTCTGTTATTGTAGATAAGTGCCTTTTCTAGAATTTCATAAAAGTAAAATACTTTATGTACTCTTTGTGTCTAGCCCTTTTCATTCAACATCATGATTGTGAAGTTCATTCATGTGGTTCCAAGCACTTTGTTCCTTTTGATTGCTGAACCAGTAGTACTGAACCACCATATTTATCCCCATTCACCCGGGTAATAATTGGGATGGCTGTGTGGGGATCTTTCCCCTTTTGTGAGTCCCATTTTCTCCCCATCTCGTGGTACTGCCCATTTCTGCTTCTTGAGGGATTCTCTGGTTTAAGTAGAGTTGCTTCTCACTTGGCTTTCTTCAATTTCCAGTTTAGGATCAGTTTTCTTTGAGTTTGGAGGTTATTTGTCCTTCTTTGTAGCTTCTGTACTTTTAATTTTTATCATCTACACTTTTGTTCTTTATCCTTTGGATTTATGGTTTTGTCTTGCTTCATTTTAATCTATTGCTTTTTTTCTTTAAGTATTACATGAGAGTAGGCATAAATGTTGTATATTTAAATCTGTCTTTTTAACTGTGTCACTATTTTTCTATGAATATAATTATTTACGTGCACTATTTTCCCTCAGAGTAGGATTTTTGCTTTACTAGCTTAACCACTATATGTCTGTATTAAGATTTTTTTTTTGTATTACAAAGTTTTTCTAAAGTGTAAAATTGAAATAGAAAAGCTAACTTCATTGGATGCATGTGCCGTAGTTTACTTCAGATTAGACATACTATACTTAAGCGTTATGTGTAAGTGGAGCTCTGAAAACTAATGTTAGGACAGGGTAAAGTTATGGAGTATAGATTAATATATCAATAGATGAGATGTAAATAATTACATCTTTGTACTTTATAAACATTTTTCAATATTTTACTTTTAGGTGCTGTATAATGTGTTAAAAGGAAATTATAAGGAATGATTTTGTCAAATTCTTATGAGTTATGGTGGCTGAAAGATCAAATGTTTCTTGTGGGAAAGGAAATGTAAGTAACCTCAAGGAGTAGATTGATTTTCAGCTATTCTCTGTTTATTTAAGACGGGTTTTTGATTTGTAAGACTATACTTAGGATACTTTTTTTCTGTTAACCTTAAGTTTGCTGCCCCTTCAGCTTGGCCCCAGAAGAAACACAAACAGTAAAATGGAGCCAAACCCTTAATGAGGCACTGTGTTACCCATACCCACAGCAAAGCTGAACCCAGGTCACCTTAACATCAATCACCTAACCCACGGCAGCTTACAGATGTGTAATCAAGAACAATTGCTTATACAGTTTTAAAGTGTATTCTAAGTATACACTCTAAGTAATTGAAAGAGAGAAGTAACATTTTTTGTAAGTTGTGGTCATTTCTTTGTAGTGTTAGCATTGCCAAATTTCTTGGGTTGTACAAAATTTAATGTTTGTTTTTTTATTTTTCCAGAAATGGCAGCACAAAAGGAAATCTGTAATAGAGTATTTTATTAAACGGAAGTGGTTAAATAAGAACTTTAAATCAACAGACTCTGCAAACAAGGAAAGAAACGTGTTAGCTGTAAGACATGTTTCTAATGAATCAAAGTCCAATAACTGTAGACTTCAGAAGAAAAAAATTTTCAAAAACTTTGTCAAAACAGACAGGTCAGTGATAAATAACTTCTCCAGTCATAGGGCTAGGCCTGAAAACAAATTTAATTGAAACATTAACAAAACAGATCAAACTTGAATTAAAATTTTTGTCATAAAAAGTTCTGAAAATATCAGCTTAAATACTCCTCAAATATCTATTGCCTTGTCCAAAGTAAAGCAAATATCATTCAGCCTTCATGCCATAAGGATGACAGAAATCTTAGCAGACTAGTACTTTTGTTGAAAATGTGTGTATCAGTTGATTTTTTTAGACCTGCTCAGTAATAATACTAGACATTCAGCATTTATTATTTACTAGGACACAAAAATTTCGAAAATACTCAGAAAAGGAGGACCTTACTCAGGAATGATGTCCATTCAGGAGAAATCAAAAGAAAATTCCTCCAGTGTTATTAAAAAGAATGAAGATAAGAATTTAGAAACACAAGTTCAAGGTTCTCAAAAGAATCTAGCAAAAAAATCAGATCCAAAGGAAGCTATAAAATCACTGGTTAAATCTTCCAATGAAAGTAAAGTAAATCAGCCTGAATTAGGAACATGCATGAGCACAAGGTCAGCATCCAGTGATCAAAAAGCTAGTAAACCTATTAATAAAACTATGGTGACCGTAAAGGGACATTCACAACAAGAATCTACAAAACAGAAGAAAATATCTCAGAAAAAATCAGTGCACGAAACCCCTAAATCAAATGAACAGCTGAACCGGAGATCACAAAGACTACAACAGTTAACAGAGGTTTCAACAAGATCTCTGCGTAGTAGAGAAATTCAGGGTCAGACTCAAGCAGTTAAACAGAGTTTGCCACCAACAAAAAAAGAGCACTGTAGCAATACTCAGAGTAAATCCAATAAAGCTAAAACAAATCAGAAACATGTGAAAAGAAAAGTATTGGAAATAAAGTCTGATTCTAAAGAGGAAGGAAATTCTGAAACTAATGAAGTGATCAATTCCCCCAAAGGAAAAAAGCGCAAAGTGGAGCATCAGACGGCTTACACTTCGAGTTCTCAGTGCACGAAAGGGTCTGAAAAGCGTCTGCAGAAAACCAGGAAAGAAGAAACAAAGTCTTCTTCTGAGATAAAAAGATCCAAAGTGGCTACTTCAGTGGTCTCTAAAAAGAAGGAGATGAAAAAGTCAGTTCCTACACAAGTGAATACTAGTGCAAAATCCCAAAAATGTCCACAGCCATCAGTGCCTGAACCAACTGTAGACAATGGGCTGGAGCACACAGGAACACGCAAACGGGGGAGCATTCTCCAGCTCTGTGAAGAGATTGCTGGTGAAATTGAGTCAGATACTGTAGAGGTAAAAAAGGAATCTTCACAAATGGAAAACGTAAAGGAGGAGAAGCCTACAGAAATAAAACTGGAAGAAACGGAGACTGAAAGACAAACACTTCATCAGAAGGAAGCGAATCAGGACGTTCAGTGTAATCGTTTTTTCCCCAGTAGAAAAACAAAGCCTGTGAGATGTATACTAAATGGAATAAACAACTCAACTAAAAAGAACTCCAACTGGACTAAAATTAAACTCTCAAAATTTAACTCTGTGCAGCAAAATAAATTAGACTCTCAATTTTCCCCTAAATTGGGCTTATTACGAACCAGTTTTTCACTACCTGCGTTAGAAACGCATCAGCAAGTGACTCAAAGTACATTTTTAGGGTCAAAACCATATGGTGATAAAAATAAAGCTTGCCAGCAGGAAGAAATGAAAGAAGTTAATTCTGAAGACGTTAAACCTAATGATATTGCAGTTGAAATGAATAAAATCCCCAAAAAGACTCCTGAAAATTGTCATTTGGGTAATCAGATAGAACCACCTTCTGACCAACCATTGGATAAGCAGAAGAAAGATTCTTTTGAATCAACACCGGATAAGGTAATCTATTTTCGTTATGTACCTGGAGGTGTCTGAGTATTTTCTGATAAGAATTAAGTGTTTATAACATACTTTAGCTTAAGAATTAAGTTGTAAAAGTTGGAAGAGTCATTTGGTAAGGAATTAGCGAGAGTTTCATTAACCCAGTCTTGTAGTGAGTGATAGAACTTACTGATTCCTTTAGATGGCTCATATTTACATGAATGCTTGTCGTTGTTTCCTTATTTTCACCCTTCATTTTTATTTTATGTGAAGCACCTGTCAGATTCTAGCTTTTCATTTTCATTTAACACACTGGTTTGTTTCCTTTTTCTCTTAATTATAACTGAAGAAACTGTTTCATAGTGAGTGACTAAAATGTGGAACTTGAAATTGGGCTCAGTTCTGATCAAGTTGTTAAAATAACTTCATCTGGCACAAGTCAGCTTTTCACCACCTGATAAAACTTGAATGTTTTTAGCAGAGGTGCCTTTTGCTTTGACTTGTGCAGCCATTTTGAACAGTTGGCAAATAAAATGCCTGAGGGATGTAAATAATTCAGTCCTCAGGCTAAGAATAAAATTGTAGTGGGCAAAAATTTTGTAAATGGAAAAGTAAATTGAAAAACAGAATCTAAATAGCTGGAAGAAACTTGATTACCTAAGAAGTAGTTTTGAAACTTTATAAAAGCAGCTGAACCATTTCTTTCCAAATTAAAATGTAGTTAAAATATCAATATATAAAATCAGTAGGCAGAACTTTAGCACTCTGTAATACTGATTTTTAAAACACCAATTTTGTTTCAGTTATTTAATTTTATAATGAGAAAGCTGAGAGCAGTAGAAGAATGTGGGTTAGGCCATGTGTTTGGTGACACAAATAGATTTGAATTCAGGTGTCCCGATTTTCAGTCCTTAATTCTTTCTACAGTGACATACCCTGGGTATAAGAAGATCATTTGAGAAAAAAAATCATGAATAGAGGAAAAACAGTCACTTTAAAGTTTTACAAGTGATTTAAAGTTCTCTTTCGAGGCATTTAGGTCTAAAAGCAAATTTGAGTGAGTGAGGAGTCAGGGTTTGTGTCAGAAGCCCCCAAAATAGATTGTTGTTTATTCTCATTGATACATGGGTATTTTAATAGTTGTAAAAAAAAAAATATGCCACACTTTATTTATGGTTTCCTCTGTGAAAGTCCTTTTACGTTGTTTCCAACTTTTTCACTGATACCAACAATGTGAGTGAGATACCAACTATCATAAGAGTGGTTAGATGTGCTGGTGAACATAATCATTTCAAGACATATTGAGTGCCTGCTGCATTCGAGACACCGTGCTAATAAGGCTATATAAGATGGTCTGTGTCCTGCCTTTAATGAACTTACATTGTACTAGTCACTTAGAGATTTCTCTTCTTCCGATAAATACTGTTTAATGAAGGCATAATAATAGCTTTTGTTTAATGAACACTGCTTCTTTATTAGGCAAAGGAGAACTTCATATAATTGTCACCACATTCTACAGCATGAGTTCTATTACTATCCACGTATTACAGGTGAGGAGAGTGAGGCTTAGAAATTTAAGTGAAGCTTAGAGATCTGTGTAACATGTAAGTGATGGAGCCAGGCTTTAAACTGAGATTGACTGGCTTCAGAATCTAGCTGAATTTATACTTGGGGAAGTAGAAGAGTGTAAAAAAGCAAACCTTACACCATTTGAAAACTTTTTCTGTGGCTGTCTGTAATTTTTCTTCTTTTTATTACATGGTGTCAGTCTCAAAAGTGCTGAAAAATGATGATGGTTGGTAAGGCTAAGCATCTGTCTGATACAGGCCTTCTGAATTCTTCAGGCCAAATTTAAAGTATTTGGATTTTATGAATTTTAAAGCTCAATTATTTTATGATTTTTTTTAAACTAGTAATTCTAGCTTCCTAATGGAGATTAATTACTAACGTCATTATTTTTATTGTTTTTAATTTTTCTGCCTTTTAATGACAAAAATGTTCATATTTCAAAAATGTAATGTTCAAGAATAATGTTATGTGTTCTTTGTAACAGTTACAATGCAGATAGATACAGACACACACACAAAAGTTATCTGTTCACCACCACATTTCCATTCCTCTGAGATAGCTAATGTTTGAGTTTGCACTATTTTCCTTTGTTAGTTATTGAGTATCTACTTTGACAGAGTTTTGATTGAGGAGTTCTTAGAAATACAAGGATAAATATAATAAGTCTTTGCTCTTAAGAGTATTAGGAGATTAAAAAATATATACTTGAAACTATATACTGAAGTATATATATACAAAAATATACTTACATATACACATGCATATGTACTTAAGAATATATAGGAGATTAATTAAAAAAAATAAGTAATTCAAAATAGAAAGTGGTAAGAGCATGAAAGATGGATGAGGTAATTGGGAAATTTGGGGAAAGGGAATGGGAAATTTGGGGAAAGAGAATGGAAAACTTGGAGATTTCATGGAAGGGGTTAATATTTAATGACTTGAGTTTATACAGGGGTAGGGTGTTGTAGATTAGCACTGTTCAGTAGAGATACAGTGTGAGCCACATAAATTGTTCAAAAATTTCTGCTAGCCACGTTTAAAAAAATTGGTAAAGTTAATATATTTTACTTGTCATGTAAAAATAATGATTCAATGTGTCATGAGTTTTAAAAATTGAGGTGTTTTACCTTTTTTTTTTTTGGTACTAATACCTCAAAATCTGGTAGGTGATTTACATCTGCAATAAATCGCAGGTCAGTCATATCACATTTTAAGTGCCCAACAGTGAGCTGTGGCAGTGGCTATTGTAATGGACAGTGAGACTTAGGTAGATGAAACCCCGAAAAAGCATAGAGCCGGCAGATATGGAGTGTATCTGTGGGAGAGGTAAAGTTTTCAGTCTAGCATGAAGGGGAATAATGAGTTGATGCTGAGATGGAGGGTAGCTTGTAGGGAGATCATAAAGAGACTTTTTTTTAAGGCATATCTTGTGTGAATTACTCCATATATGCTCTTAAATTTTCTTAGTATAGTGCTAAAATTCACTGAAAATATTGTAGTAACACGCAAAGGTTGATACAAAAGTGAATATTAACATTTTGAATTATATGTGCTTAGAATTGCAGCCTATGTTTGGAATCTAAGCTTGAAAACAATCCAGTGGAAAATGCCACTACTGTCTCAACTCTGCTCAGTCAAGCAAAAATTGATACAGGAGAGAATAAATTTCCAGGTAATACTTTGAAAGTATTGTTTAGATTTCACAGTGGTCAGAGATTTTTTTTGTCAGTATAACAGAAGACTATATCCACTATCAAATAAACCTGTTAAATCCTTCTTTTAACCATTGCTTATGTTTTTCAAATGTTTGATGATAACTATTCTTTGAAGGGGGAGAATTGCGTCTGTTGATTGGGTTGTGTACATTACTTAAGGTGATTGTTTGACTCCCTGCCCAAACTACTTTGCTTTTAAATCTTTTGTTTGTGAACTTACTTTCTGGAGAAGTGTTATTTAATGAATTGCTTAAATTAGTGATTGCAGTTTATTTCTCAAGTATAAATGACTAGTTTACCAAGTTCTTATCTTTAACCCTTAATTACTCAGTTTTCCATCTTAGTAATTGTATCTTTGAATTAAATCAGTTCTTGCATTCTGTTCACTTTTATCATAAAAAACTTTATTTTTGTAACCGAATGAATATTTTGAGGGTAATTCCCTGGCAGTCTAGTGGTTAGGACTCGGCGCTTTTTCTGCAGCAGAACGAGTTCCATCCCTGGTTGAGGAATTAAGATCCCACAAGCTGAATGGCGTGGCCAAAAAAATTGGGCAATATGTTCTTTGAACTCTTGAATAGGGATTTGTTCACCTATATCAGATGAAGCACCAGGAGATACAGAAGAGAAATTCCTAAATATTGAGTTCATATAATTGATTCACTTAGGAGTGCTTAGTTGCTAAGGTGTGTTTGACTCTTGTGACCCCATGGACTGTAACCCACCAGGCTCCTTGTCCATGGAATTTCCCTGACCCATCAGGGATGCCCTTAGTGGGGAAAGGGGAAGTATAATATGAATACCAGAAATGCATTTATTCGTTAGAAAATTGTTATTGCGTTATTTGATTAGTAATACGATTAAAGGACTTCCCTGGTGGCTCAGAGGTAAAGAATCTGCCTGCAGGAGACTTGGATTTGATCCCTGGAGAAGGAAATAGCAACCCACTCCAGTAGTCTTGCCTGGGAAATCCTGTGACAGAGGGGCCTGGTGGGCAACAATCCATGGAGACAAAAGAGTCAGACACTATTTAGCACTTGAACCACCAGCAATGTGATTAAAACTCCAGAGACTACAGGTTTTTTTAAGCTAATGTTTTCCTTTATTTCTGTTTAGAGACTGAATAATTAATTATGAAAGCATTATTATGAATAATTATGAAAGCATTTAAACAATTTCCTTTATTGTTCAGTGCTAGTAATTACTGCTGAAACTAGAGACACACTGTTAATCTACCATTAGATCTCTCTGCAGCTCTGTAGAGCTTTTTTGCCTCTTCTCTGAAGAGAAATTCCTAGAAAGATGACTCTTAATTTTATCAAATGGTATTTATTAAAAATAAACCATTTAGTGCACTGAGGTTGTTTTTCTTTACGATAATTTTTAACTGTTAGGTGGAGGGCTAGTACAAAGCTTAGTACATAACCCATCTTTTTATTAAATCACAGGTTCAGTTCCCCAACAACACAGTATATTCTGTAATCAGACATCTAAGACAAGTGATAACAGGTAAGGTATTAGTTTAATTCAAGTATAAATATGAGAACTTCAGGATTTTATACTTGTAAGTTTTGAGTTTGGGAAATTTTTTCCCTTGAAAGGTTGCATTAGTAATCATCAGTTTTTCACACAGATGTGATAGAAATTCTGTTTTTAGTGTACTTTTCTTTTTCTGTGTCTATACATAGTGTTTTGCAGCTTTTAGTTTTTTCTCAGTGTGTTATAGAAGATAGAAAAGATGTTTTCTACGTTCCTTCCTCATTCTTTTAAATTCTGTATTAGATTTCATTGTGCACATTTTCCATTGTTTATTAACAGTTCTCTATTGAAACCTTGGTTGTTTCTAGTTTATTTCTATCAGAAAAAAAGTCCTACAGTAAACACTTATCTTTGTCCACTTACGTGGCTCTATCTAGGATAAATTCATAGCTCTAGGATTTAACCTGCCTTGCCAAATTTTCCTTGCAAAGTGGTTGCGTCTTATACTCCCAGCAACAATATATGAGAATGCTCCTTTTGCCCAAAAAGCCTCATGATATATATTAGCAAAATGTAAAAGTATTTCAGCAGATTAAAAGCTTTTTGTTCTGTCTTTACTTTCAAAATAAATTAGTATGACTTTTTTGCTTTACTGATTACTGAAAACAATATTTAGGACAAACTGTAGTGACTCAAATTGCCGAAACTATGAAACTTAAAACTTATTCATACTATAGTAGGTACTACATTCTTTTGTTTTTATGTTGCAAATGAGTTGTTTCTTTGGGTTTCCTTTTGGTTTTTAAAAGGTTATTTCCCTGCCCCCACACCCCTTGGAATTTTATTTGTCATAGTGTAGTATAGAAAAGCCTAAGTATTTTTCTGCCAGTGATTTGAAATGATATGGATCTATAACATTTAATAGTTGTCTGGTTGGTTGGTTGTTTTTTTAAAAGGGAGATACCACCAAATCATTCTTGGCCCAAGTGTAATTCCCATTTGGAGATAACAATTCCAAAAGACTTGAAACTAAAAGAAGCAGAGAAAACTGATGAAAAACAGTTGATCATAGTAAGTATACAACTTGACCTTTTAGCTAAAATGTTGCTACACCATCTTATTTATACACATTGTCAAGGAATAAATTCATTTTTTTCCCCTACAGAGCCTTTTTGTCACCGTAATTCTTCATTATGGAAATATTCTTGGTAGTATGACAGCCACTCTCTCAGTGATTCCATCCTGTAATAATAAAAATTCAAATTTCCTTCTAGTTTTATTTACAACAGATTGATACTTTATTTCACATATTTTCTTAAATGTGTCATTTGATCACTACCTTCTTTTAGTAGTTGGTTTAAATTTTAAAATAACATGGAGCTTAATAAATACAGATGATTTTAAATATGTGTATTTTAGTATATGTTGTAATTGTTAAACTACATTTTACAGGAAGATAAACCAGTAGTTAGTTTGAAATAGAAAATAAGTCCTATTTGGTGGCAAGGTAGAAAACAGAGGGAGATAGTTTCACTGATGAAAAATCGAATTTGAATGAGTGAGCACAATATAAAAAAAAAGAAGAAACCCAAAATAATAGGAACATTTAATGTAGTTCCAGTTGACACAAGTAATCAGATTTTTTTTGTACTGGTTAATTGGTTTTAGCTTTAATCAGTTCAGTTCAGCCGCTCAGCCATGTCAGACTCTTTGTGACCCCATGAATTGCACTATGCCAGGCCTCCCTGTCCATCACAAACTCCTCTAGTTTACTCAAAACTCATGTCCATCGAGTCGGTGATGCCATCCAGTCATGTCATCCTCTGTCATCCCCTTCTCCTCCTGCCCCCAATCCCTCCCAGCATCAGGGTCTTTTCCAATGAGTCAGCTCTTTGCATGAGGTGGCCAAAGTATTGGAGTTTCAGCTTCAGCATCAGTCCTTCCAAATGTTAGGTAGTTAGAATAGGGAAAAGGAGTCCAAAATGGCGGTCGCTAAAAGACCTGGAAGGGAAAAGTCCGAGAAAATAGAGCAAAGGAAGGTCCGAGGACCGGAGTGAGAACCTCAGGTAAAACAACACTCCTGGCTGGCCCAATTTACCTAAGACAGGCCCAGGGACAGAGAAACATATAAAAAGAGGAGCCAAAGGCCTTTTCGAAGGCTCTCTCTCTCTCCCGAGCGATGGGGCAATCTTCTCTTCGCTTCTTTGGATCGACGTGCCCTCATGCCTCGAAGATGGATTTTCCTGTTATTATCTAAATAAATAGAGCTGTAACACTGAGCTGTAACACTGATTTATTTAAGAGGTATAACACGGTCTGTCCTCCAAGAGCTGTGACCCGCCGAGGGGGCTTCAGTGTCCGTCACTCCAAGTTTTTGTTGTGACGAGACAAAGAACCGAGGAGCATACACCTGCTTGACACAATGAACACCCAGGACTGATCTCCTTTAGGATGGACTGGTTGGATCTCATTTCTGTCCAAGGGACTCTCGAGTCTCTCCAACACCACAGTTGAAAAGCATCAATTTTTCGGCACTCAGCTTTCTTCACAGTCCAACTCTCACATCCATACATGACCACTGGAAAAACCATAGCCTTGACTAGACGGACCTTTGTTGGCAAAGTAATGTCTCTGCTTTTTAATATGCT